TTGTGAGTCAAGTCTGTATATTTTTTAGAAACTAATATAAATCTATTAAATTCTATGTATAAGTTGTATGTTCATATTAAGAAAGTTCAAGTGGATTGCTATTATTGTGAGCCAATCCTGCCTATTTTTTAAGAAACTAACACAAACTTATTAAATTTATTTAATTATGTATATTACATATTTAGGAAAATAACATAATATTGAAAATTGATTGTAACCGATTTCATTTATTAAAATATTTTGAAAAATCAAAATTATATTAATAAATTAATATTGATAAAAACACTCAAAAACATTTATTTCATTTTCATAGCTTTTATCATAAAAAACTACTTTAGTTAAACTTTTGGGGCCACATAGGTTTATTAATGCAATTGGTAAAATTATGGAATCGTTCTTAATTCTTAAAACGTAACTTTGGTCACAAAATCCGATATTATCTTATTATATTATATTAAATTATTATTATTATTATAATTAATATTATGTAAAACTGAAAACTTCATCAAATTCATAAAAGAAAAAAACGTTTGTCAATAAATAAAAACACCGAAAATAACATACCCTATATATTACTCGGTAAAACTTCAAGTAATTTTTGATTTTCACAAAAGGTTTAGGTTTAGTTTCAAGTAATACGAATACCGGGAATATGTTCGAATATTTTCTTTTGTATATATTTATATAAAACAAAAAGCAGTATATTTAAAGCATAAAGCAGATTGCTGTTCCAGCTCTTCCAGAATTTTTGAACATTTTCAGGTGTGCAATCCAAGTGGTCAAAATCTTATATACTAAATCTGCTCGGACATCGTAATGCTGCTTCTCTGAATAAAGTTGTTATCACTTTTGATACATCAGCCTATTTATGAAAATCGGTATTGGACAGAGATTTGTTTTCGAAATTAAGATATCACGTGGTCCCAATTTTTCAATACCAATTTTAAGGATAACGTTATTATGATTTTATTATCTCTGGCATTTAAATTCATTGGCTTTTTCAATTGTAGTGAATGCTCTGTGCCTCTGCAAATATTTTATATATACTGTACTTTGAAGATTTGGTATTTAAAATGTGATTCACATTCATTTTATCGCTCTGGACATTTTGCCAGAGTAGCAGAATTAACTTGAAATTGACAGTTGTTTTATATTATATGACTTGACAGATAAAGTGCAATTTGATGTGATGTATTAATTTAAGAAATAAACTATTAAAAATATTAGATTACTCGAAAAATCTTCGATTGGGCAATAAAATTTAACACATCGAGAGTAAATCGAAAACGCTATTACTGCATTTATTTTCAAAGCAAAATATGTCACACTCCAGCAAACACAACAAATGATACATAGTATTAGCAAAAAATTATACCAAAGTACAGAAGGAATCATAGTATTCTTCATGGTACAACGCTGCATGTGTCTCTCTAGCCCCACTCATGAACTATTGATAAACACTTGACACTACGAATAAGTTTGCCTTTATATCGCATATTCTTATATGGATTTGTATGGCAAATATTACTAATTGCTACACATTTAGCCATAGTGTAAACATTGTATTAAATCAACTACACATACATTTAACTAATATTAATGCAAATTACTAAAATATTTTTAAGTAGATATATTTTTAATATAAGTATTAATACACATTAAAGCTTTTATAAAATATTTTAAATTTTATTTGCTTAATTGCTATCCTGCTTTCCTTACATATTAACGAGTTTACAACCAATACACCATAATTAAATTGTCTTTCGGTTGCAAGAAGCTTCTTATTGTATTTTATAATGAACTCAGAATGCAATTTATACATTGACTACAGGCTTTCCTCTAGCCTGTAAATTTTATATAAATTAAAAAATAAAAATAATGTTTACACAAGGACAATGATGCAAATGTGTTTTGCACGCAGTCCACCGCCCATAGATGAGATAAAGTAATTTTGGAGAAAATGTTTTCACCAGATATAAATGTACAAATATATTTATATCGAATTCAACCAATAATATATTCGATATTGAAATTAAGACAACACTTAGTAAAATGATCCAATTAACTTATTTAAAGTTCCTTTTTGAATTTATTTATAATTTTTTTTAACCCGGTTTAAGGTTAAAATAAAATTTATTGAAAAAATATTAATTATTAAAACTATAAAAATTAGTTACTAAAAGTAAAAACAAAAAAAAAGTATTTGTTTTATATAACATAATTAATATATTATATTTTATATGTAATATATATTTTATATAATATAATTAGAACGTATTATATTATATTATGTAGATCGTTAATTTGGTAATTTCGCGTTCCGTAACGTCGCGACGTTATAGACGTCAAGATACACATTTTCGTCAAGTCCATAAATTGGACTTCTGTAGCAGCTGATTTCGTATATTATGTTTCAAATGGAAGCCAAAACTAACAAAAGCTGTGATAAATTTAAATGAAACTTATTCTATTACTCAATTATTTATTTTTAGTTATATATATTGATTTTTTTTTAGTTAAACACTTTAGTTTAGAACTTAAATCTTGTGAAAGCAACATTTCACAACACTATGGATCAGCTGATGTTTTATCCAAAATCAAATTTATGAATTTAGACGAAATTTAAGAAAGAAATGTAAATTGAATATTTTTATATAAATTATTTGCTAACTTCGCTTCCGCATTGTATATTAGGAACCTCTTCTAGAAGTTTTCTTGCTCGCATTACTTCGTTCGCCTTCATTAGTAAATTATCAAGTGTATCCTCACCCACCAATATATCATCGATGTGATGAACATTAGAACCATCTGACGCATCAGGAATGGCTGCACTTAGTAAATTCATTGGGCCAGAGTCTCCGACCTCTAAAGCCGCTTCAATTTCCATAATTGCTCTGCGAAAGTAAGGAAGCTTTAATGTTTTTTCTGTAGAGAATTTGGTTTTATTCTCTTTATATTTGAAAATATTTTCTAGTTTGATA